CAGGAAAATAAGTGATAAAAAGTGGCATGCAACAAGAGCTGATACATGCAACCATGCAAAATAAACCAGGAGACCCTAGATAAACCTTTTTTTCTTCTCGGAAAAGCTATTGATACTAGAAGAAAAAAAGCTAACAATGACAAAGAAAGAGAATACATTTGAAGATAAAGGCATAACCTAGAGCTCCCAAATCCTCTCCTCACTCAAGCCCAGTCCTCATAAAGTTCTACTTTCCAAATCACCTCAAAGTTTATTTCATGAGTGTTAGACAGGATCTTCATATCCACTACATGCTTTCTTCCTGCAGCTGAGGATAAGGAAGAGTTTTCCAGGTAGACTTAGACATGCTTTAAATGATGAGTCAAGAATAGTTAGTGTTAATGGGGGTGTAGCCAAAACCTTTGCATACTTCTGATCAGGTCTGTGCCTGGTTTTCTTCCTGCTTAGGGCACCTAATTCCAAGTTCCATTCTAGGAAACTTGATGCTGCTTCTCAGTGGAGAACAGCAGAGTTGAGGATACTCTTTTTCCATGATTTAATACAATAGTAGTCCAGCTCCATTACTGGAGAAATCCAACAAAACTCCTATAGAAATCGTACAGGCAATAGGATTGTTAGTGCAGTAAGTCTGACAACTGCCTGCATGCTACATTTTCAGGCAGCTATGACATGAAGGGAGAGCCACATGAATTCAATTCTCATTGGAAGACTGAAGACTGCTTAGAGTGCTCCTGTTCAAAGTTTGGGATCAGCTGCTGCACCATGTAAGTTCAGAGCAGTGGGGTTCTCTCCACTGGCACAGTGTGGCACAAAGCATTTCCCTCACACAGGGGTCCCTGAGAAACCACAAGGACCCTCCTCTCATTGACTCCCTTTACATCACAAAAATGAGCATTAACCCAACACCAACACTGAACACACAAGAAGTTCCTCTGAAAAATAGAGCTCATGTTTTAAAAAAATTTTTTTTGAAATAACAAAAGGAAAAAAGGGAGTAGTTGTGAACAGGCTAAAATTTCGGGTAAGCCACTTATTCAAGAGAGAACATTTAGTTACTTAAGAGTCTTCTACCAGCTAATTAAGAACTTTCCGAGCACAAATTGCCTTTTTTCTCTCTGAGGGTCAGTCAGCCACACACTGGCCTGCCTGTAATATTCATGTGACTCTTGTTGCTGTTGTGGCGAAACAGAAAAGCAATGATATTGGAGTAGTAAGTAAACATGACAAGCATCCTTTGGATATAAATCAAATCAGTAAATGATAACTCCACCCTCCTCCTGTTTAAGCAGCAGGGTGAGCAGCCTTTTGCTGTCAGGTGCATATAAGCTCCCTTTTCTGTTATTAAATACCATCTCAGCATCACCTCTCCAAACTACAAGTGTAGATGCCATCTCAGATGGAAGCCACTTCCTTCTTGCTCTAATCGTCTGCTCTTCTTTTCCCAATGACAGCTATGCAAGACCAGTTAATTTTGACGAAGAGAAGTGCGTAAGCATATTCAACAATACTGCCTGTGCTTATGAAGTAGTGGAGAAAGCCGATCACTCAAAAACATGCGAAGTACATGAGTGGGTGGGCTAACAAAGGAGAGGCACGGATTTGGGGGAGATATCCTCTTTTCATTTCAAGGGTTCTCTCTCACAAATTTAAAAAAAGCTGAAGAACGCAACCATAGAGTAAAGCCTGCTCAGAAGATTCCTAAGTGATAAAACAGAACCTAAGCACACAAGATTCCCTCTGTTTCTCTGCCTTCTCCTTCCCTGTGCAGCAAAAAACTAACTTATTACTTCCTAGATATCCTGAATTAAAGCTGACCTTAAGCATCAGCAGCAGCTGATGACTTTAATTTTTCTTCCACTACACTTCAGTGCCAAGGAGTACATTCTGTTACCCACACACAGCTTTATTTTAAGGCAAAAATAAAGCTAGATGAAGCATAAAAAATTCGCGTGACTTTTTTTTGGGTGGGGGGGAAAGGGGGGGAAGGTGACCTAAAGAATGAACAGTCCAAAAAACAAGGGAAAGCAATGAAAAGCAGTATAAAAAACAAAAACAAAAACAACTGTCTGAACATTCCCTTTCCTAAGGCAATTTCTTCCATGATAACCATTTATACTGCTTGGCTCCCCAGAGCCTGCTCGACCTATGGGCTGCAAGAAGCACCAGCTACCCCACTTACCCACAGCACAACAATCCCAGTTCTCAGCCATGAGCCTGATTAACCCTAAAAGAATTCAAGTTTCTAAATTGGCCAGTGCTGTGAGTTACACTCAGGAAAAATACAAGCCAGAAAATAAGAGTACACATGTAACAGTAACCAAAGAGCAATGTACTCCAATTACATTTCTGAAGGCTATGGTATATTTTCTCAGTAATTGTAGAGGCTTTCTGGGTCAGTATACCTGCCTCTGAAGCTTTGACCATCAAATTCTTTAGCAGCCAGCACGCTTTTGAGCAATGCTGGAGCCTGAATTCAATCAACTTAGAATTGTGGCCTACTTTTAATGGAAGATAAGCTTTGTGTTTATGGCTTCTGTAGAGAAAAGACTGTTCTGTGCAATCTTCCCAAGAAGGAGACCACTTCCCCCCTTCCTGATGTTTTTCTCCCATCCTCAGTTAGTTACATTCCTGCGTTACCAGAGACTCTTTTTTTTCCCCCCAGTTTTTCTGAATGCACTTGCATTCTGCTACAGACCATGATCTGATCCCTGAAACAGAATGAAATCCACTGAAGTCCATTCAGCCCTGAGCTCCCCACCATGCTCTGAATCTTGCTGGTTGGGGCTCTGTCAGACAGAGCTGGAGCAGATGAGACAAACCCTTATGTAACCTCGTACAGTTGCCCAGAGGCTGAGTGCACTGCAGCTCCTGAGTCATTTCAGATGAATGCTACCCAAGCACAAAGGACATGAGAGGGAGTTTAAAAAACCAACCATTACCCTCTCCTGTACCTTGCAGGCACCATCAGCTTATAGAGAGAGCACATTCTCAGAGCACAGCAAGTCTTAAGAAAGCTATGCACCCAAACTCCAGAAAAATTAGCCTTACTGGCATACTCATGCAATCCCAACCAATTTAACCACATCCCAAATGCACCCAGATGCTTTCCTCCACCATTGGCTGATTGTTGATATGGTATGTGGATCTACACTGCTTGTCATGGAAAAAAAAAAAAATTGTTTCAAAACCAAAAAGTCTCCAGAGAGCTGCTCTCTTCTTGTCTGCTCCAAGTTCCAGCATGGAAACAGATGATGTGATGATGTTACCTATCACATCTCATTTCAGAATGCCAGAAGCACAGCAGGGACTTGGCTGCCTTCTCTAGGAGGAGCCTAGCTGTCGGAGAATGACAAAACCCTCCAAACCGAGAAAGCAGAGGTACAGAGAAGAGCTCTGCTCTTCTTCATTTAGCCAAGTGTTTTGTCATGACATTTCTTCTCTTAAATGCACACAGCTACAGTCCCCTACAAAGAGCACATCCCCAGCTCGGGCCCTTGAGCTTTAGGTGATAGTACCACTAGCTCCACTTAGTGGAGAGGAAACATTCATGTAAGAGTTCCCCGTAATCCTTACATTAACAAGCGACTGCAGAACACTGGGAGTCTGGCACAGCCCCAGGAAGGGACTGTGTGCTCTCTTCCACCCCTTCCTCTCCATACACCTAATGAAGCACTCCCACTAGCTCTGTTAGAAATGAGGTGGAATTTTGGGGGGCCCTGATCCCTCCAATCGCAGTAATTCTTTTCAAGACAAGACTTTTAAATACCAGTAAGATGTTCTTGCCCTAAAATGAAATGTAATGTTTATCTTACCAAATAGCACATTTTAAACCCAACACCAGAACATGCATGCCATAATCTAAAGGAAGTTTTCCTATTAAAGAGCATTTATCACTTAAAACTTACCTGGTTTTGTATCCATTCATGTTTTGTTCCCATTAAGATTTTTGCCAGTCTTAAAATTTATTTCTGAACAATCTTAAACAAGGAATGCACATATTTTATTTAGGTTAAACTTAGTGGAGAAGCTAGAGAGTTGCAGATCACTTTCTGTTTTGTACTATTTTTTAAATGCAGATGCATTCAGTTTATGCTAGTTCAGCTTTTTCACTTTGTTCTTCATTAATGCATCTATTGGTATGCAGGAATATTTGTCTTGGCATCTCTTGAATGCCTCCAAGTTTCTGTTCAAATCTATTGTGTACTTATTTCTCAAAGCCATGCTGTGGTTTATTAAAGGCAAAATGATTGGCTTTATAATAGCAATTTATATGAAACTTAAGAACACACAAGTTATATGATCAATCTAAAACAGTCGTAAGACTTATCCCCACCCCAAAATTCTACTTTGACATTGATTTTCTTTCAGCATATAACTCTCTGTAAGATTATGAATCCTAACAGAAACATTTGCAAGAGTAACACTTAGAATTTCAGTATCTGTTTTGACTGTGTGTTCAGTATCAGGGAACTCCTCCACAGTCTGGAGTAAGAAAGAGTTTGAAAGTTAGAATAATCAAAGTCATATCAGAAAGAGAGTGGAAAACTAGTGCTACTCCACCTGGTGCTCACCAGCAGCCAGAAATTGCAGGGAAGTTCTAACTAACTTCCCAGCAAGTGTTAAGGGAAGTAATAAGAACTTAATACAGCAGATAGCTCTATCCCTCTTTCTCTGCTATGAAATCACTAGATGGCATCCTAGTTCTACAACAGTGCTCGTGTGTGTGAAGGAAAGGCTGGTCAAGCAAAATCTACAGAGAGTATGAAAACCTAAAGCCTGGTTCTTCTGGCTGGCAGATCTGAGCTTAATTTTCATTAGTTCCAGAGGGGTTTAAGAATGCAAGCAGCTTTTTAGAAGTATCTTTAATCTATTAGTACAGAGAGAAGCTTCTGAAGAGGTCATCAGCAGGACTGAGCGCCCATCTTCAGACTTGGCCTGCCTATTGTTGTCCCTTATACCCAAGAAAGAAAGCTCAACGATAACTCTACTCCAAAGCTTTATTCAGGAATTAGATGCATTAGCATCTCTAATTTTTAACAGAGCAAAAACAACACACACAAAAAACCCATACAAAGACAAGAGTTTGTGATAAGACTGATCTCATGCTTTAAAGTCTGTGGTGACAAATCTCCTTATATGCTTCTCATCAAAACCTGCATTTTTACCATACATATTTCTGGCTGCATTGCCCCCCTTTTTCCCCCCCACTGTAATTTTCTTGCTTTCTAGAGTAGAAAAAAGAAGATTCCAGCAAGTAATTTTCTGCCCTGTTGACAGATTTTTTAATAGTTCATGACATGAACCACAGACTATATCAGATTTAGAAGTTTCTTGCACATTGTGTTAGTGCAGCGTTCCTTAACTTGGAAGGTAACAAGCTCTATTTGCTAAGCTCACCTCTGCTCAGGTCCTAAGGCTGTAGTAGACCACAACACTTAGCTACAAGCAGGACAAAGTTCAGCCTATAGCCCTGCACCCTGAGATTTCCAGCCAAACTCCTCAGAAGCATTAATTTCAGGAGACAGAGATACAACTGCTTGTCTACCAAGTAATCCTGGGCAATTCTTTCTCCAAAACCAGCAGCTCAGAGCTGATAAGACCATGGGCATTGGCTGGAAGGAGCAAGTGGCAGAACATCCATCCCATTTACAGTTCAGAATGCATTCATGCCATCAGCTGCTGCCACCATCCTCCCCAGCCCTAGTTTTTGAGAGCTGCCTGTCAGGAAACAATTCTGCGGACTATCTGGGAACTACAGCATACTGACATACTGCAATTTAACTGCAGTTATTATTTTATTAATCAGACACATTTGCAAAGCCATGGGTAGAAGTAGGATCCATAGACATGACCAGCATACCATCTGCAAGAGGAATAAAAAAAAAGATTTAAATCAGGGCTAGATTACTGGAGCTGCTACCGAAGTCCTGAGACTTTGTGACATCAGGTAGCTCTGGGGAGCTTGAGAAGGGCTAAACGTGCAATGGCTCAAAGGAGCCACTACCAAAGCCGAGATGCACAGGACAGCCAACAGTATAAGATGAAACCTCTCTGGACTCAGATTCAAGGTTTGTGAAGGGTCAATTCCTGAGGGCATCTGGAACCTTGGAAAAGGGAAGAGTTTAAGTCTCTGTCCACAAAGGTCTGTAGGTCTCAAACCTAGTAGTGAAAAAGGGAACAAAGTAAATTTTTCCTCTCTTCAGGGAAGCGGTTACATTGCAGAAGAGTTTAAAGAGTCAGACTTTATGCAGGAGCAGCAGTTAGAAAACTCAATTTTTGCTTCAAAGAACATTCTTGCTTAAAAAATGAACAGTCATCCAACAGACCATGTCAAATCACAGGCTCCTGAAGACAGGTTAGGTTTTCAATACAGGCAAGTTACACTTGAGTTTCAGGAGTGGAGACCTGGCCTGCAGTCAGAGCCTTGGTGACCCAGGGGTGACATCAAGGCACCCTTTTACTCTGAGGTGGGGAGAGCAGTCCAGCCTGGCCCCAGGCATCTCTAAGTTACTCAGAATCCTCCTAATTGGCAAAAGCATCTCCAGGCAGAACTGCCTCCCCGGTTTGGCAGTCACTGCACTTGTCAAACCACTGCATTATTTAACCAGTTTAGCTTGGCAGCTTCACTGACAAACAGCAAGATAAACAGGGAAAGGCAGGGCTGGATGTTCCTCTCATTGCTTCACAGACCTCAAGCTAAGGACACCCATATATTAACTGCTGCCATATCCCACAGCTAGTGAAAGACATACAGGCTGTCTGGAGCCAGGCTGTGAGCTCCACTGATCTCAAGGAATAAAGGTACACAGGCAAGCAGCAAGTTGTGACAGAAAGGCAGTACTCCATGTCTCAGGAGGCACTCAGCCTCCTCACCTCTTACAGCATCCACTGGGCAAGATTGACTTATCCTTCTCTGAAGAGAGGGACCCCAAAAGACACACCCTACAGGGAAGTGTTCATTCACACCCACACAACAGAGAGCTCCCTTCTCCTTCACTACCTACTCGACTTGGAAAGCCTTACTGACTCCAGAGAAGACTCCTGAGCAGATCAGCAAGCATGGACAGAGACTGTCTTAGCCTCTGTTCTCTTATAGAACCCAAATGTCACTCAAAATCACAAACTTTCATAAGCACTTGGTTTCTTCATTCTCAAGTTTCCAATCTAAGTAACCTTACAGTGCCTTTTTTTTTTTTTTTTTTAAAAAACTTTAAAGGCAAAAAAAGAAATCACACAGAGCATACTTTAGCACACACCTGAGGTTAAAGACCCAGCACCACCAGGCAGTAAGGCAGCAATGGCTTCAACCACAGTGAGCTTGGCTACCTGAGAAACAGCAGTGGTTTGGAAAAACTCGTTAATATAGTTTTTTTTTCTTATTTTCATGAGAGAAAAAATACAATAAGCTTATTGTTCTAGGACAATTTAGAATGCACCTTGCCCTTCATGAATGTTAACATTTCTTTGAAGCTATACTGTTATTACAGGTACTGCATAGTCACTCAACAGTCACTCATCAAGGAATATGACAAGATTAAGAGTGACAGCAAGGTCAAGCCAGAAATTTGAAGGCAATCACACATTTAAAAATTTAATAGCAAATGATAAATATAATTTTCACTTTATTTCCTCTTAATATTAACACAGTCAACTTGAAGAAATCATTCCCTTCAGACAGGTGTTCATCCATTCAAGGATTACCACAGAGCATTTCCTTAAGGTACTGCATCAGACACAACAATTGTTTCCTAAAGCAGAACCACACACAGAATATGATCTACCAAAAGTCACAAAATTAACACAGAACTACAAGATTAAAAGCAAACTACAATAAAAGCTCTCAAGCTTCTCTCCAAGAACAAGAGTAAAAAAACAAAATCAAACCAAAGACACTTACACAAATCAGCCCCTCTGTCAAATAGGCAGCAACCAGTTCTTCTGCAGTCACCTCCTTTGCTCTGGACCCCTCCAGAAAGGTTACTTGATCTGCTACTGCACCTTTTATCCAAGAGCCCCCTTCAGGGCAGCTTGGCTTCCTCCAACTATTTGTCAATCAGTAGAAGCTAATGAGTAATCAAGGTGTTTAATCAAGCACAGGCTTGCTGAAAGAACCTCACCAGCAGAATTAATCAACTCATTATTCTGGGAATCCTCTGGCAACTTTCAGAGCTTGTCATGCCTGTGCCCCAGTTCAGTGAAGCAGTGGATTCCTCCAGATTCCAGCATGGCCATTGATGGTCTGGGGTCTGTGAGAGTTTTCCTGGATGGTTGTGAGATGCAGCCTCACATAGTGTGTACTGCAATAGTGCAAAAACCCCCAATACCTGCAGTAACATATCCTGATGATCTCCAAAACCAACACCGCAAGATCCCAAATGCCTTGGAGGCAGGGTATGTATGAGGTGAAAGAAAGCAGGAATTTTGCTTTCTTTGCCTTTTCTAATCCCTAATGTCACTACTATTGCTGTCAGAAAGACGTGAGCTACAAAAGCACCCTGACTGTTGGCTTCACTTCTGAACTGAGACAATACACATGCAGCTCATCTCACTTTTGTTGACAAAAAGGTGCTGTCTGTTCATGGTGATCTGTGCGTGTCTTGTGGGCCAGGGTTTGCATCAGCAACCTGGAGATACAAAACTCTTTGGCTAGTCCTTACAGGTCATTAAATTTGGACAAAATAACATGTCACATATACACTGAAATTATAATAAATCAGTTTGAGAACACTGGCCACACTGCTGCACTGTAGGAATGACCTGTTCCAGACCAGGGGTGATGTCCCGGCAGCAGGTCAGGTGAACAATAGCACAACACTGCCTTGCTGCTCACATGCCCTTTCCCACTGCTCCTTGATGGCCTGCCAGGGCTGGAGGTGCAGCTTTTGGGGGGTCACAGGCTTTCTCCAACACTGGTGCTGGTGCAGAGTGACTAATGTATCTGTTGGAGTTTCTTCAGATGTACACTGGCATAGTGAAGGTCAAGATGTACATCCATGCACAAAACAAGCTTCTGCAAGACTTTTTGAGGTGACACCTTCTGATCGATGGTAGGAACAGGTTAGAGTGTCCACTGGCTCCTGGGGTGCTCATGGTGACATCACCTCCCTTTGTCTTGACCATTGTTTCCACACTGTATATAAATACACAGCTACTCCTCACTATGAAATGTGAGCAGCCCGTGCAAGAATGGTAAGTCAGCAGTTTATATGCTAGGTGTGTAGTGTGTGTGTACATACGTGGAAAGTATTTTCAATCTGAGCTTGTTTATAATAATAGGACTTGTCCTTAATTCTTTGCAAGTGTGTCAGTTTACTAGAGCACTGAAAAAACATCTGGTTTAAAGAAAACTTCCTGCTTCTTTTCTAGAAATTCTTGCTGGTCTTCTGCTTGATCCTCTTCTCAAGGACTCTGTGCGATGCCCGCTGCTACTTTAGAACATCCAGCAAGTATGGTAAGAATGGCAAATACTGGACATCCCTGAGATTCAAAGTCTAATTTTGCTAGAAATGCTGGAACAGTATAACACATCCTGTGTTGAAGATTGATCCAATCAGCAGGATGCTGGGCTATCAACCCACCTGAAGACATCTCCAAGCAGACAGACAGATGTTATTCCATGACATAGATGCACCCTCAGGGTTAACGTATAGCTGAAGCCATTTCCCACACGGCAGAACACATGAACTGTCTAACTTGAGTAGGGTACCTAACACTAAAATCAAAGCTAAGGCTGCAAGACTGGTGTTGTTGAAACTTTATAAAAGTTGAGGGAGAAGAGGGGAGGGAGAAACTACAGTCTAGATCTGTATGCTGAGTATAATAAAAGGCAGAAATATCCTACCATAGCCATCAGCTGAAGTATTTCTTTAGATCTATCACAAGAACAGAGGAGTATTTCTCTAGCACGTGGTTGCTACCACTTTATCATGATACTCTCCCGTGCACTTCAGGAGTAAAGATGTGGTATCTGCTCTGCAAAGCACTGGGTCAGATTCTCTGCTGATGTGATTCAGTGTAAATCAGAGTTTTGATTGCCAGCCCATGAACAGAAGACTGTGATTTATGTCTGTTAATACATGTCCATATTGATTACTGACTTGCTTTCTGTTGTGTGCATGTAGGGTGCATTTCAAACAGAAACCTCTACGTTTTTGGTGCAGTGTGGAAGACTGAAGATTGTTACCAATGCAAGTGTAAGATGAATGCGATGGTTTGCTGCAGCTTGTAAGTTCCCCCAAATTATTGCTTGCTTATTAAGGAACTGGTTGATATGTTCAGACTTAAAAAAGCCTTGGTGAAAGCCTGAGCTTGAATATCATATTCACTTGAGCAAAATTCCTCTTCCTATATCCTAGTTAGTTCTAATTATGACTAAGTAGAATTATCTGATAACCACATAGACTTATTTGGGAAGAAACAAAGTGAAAGACAGCAAAGTTCTTACAGAGGATGCAGCTCTTCCTCATCACAGAATGGTTTAGGTCGGAAGGGATCTTAAAGATCATCAAACTCCAACCCCTTCTGGTGACAGCTCCTCAGTGTTGATATTAATGGAGACCGTGAGCCAAACCAATCCATAATGTAGCTTGCTACAGGATGGCTGTAGCTCAATAAGCATCCTTATCTCTGTTCAGGTCTTGGCTCCTGATTTGTCTCCTTGCCTTTCTCAATGACAGGGTTTCAGTCCCCAAGAACTATGACAGGGTGAACTGCGTTGGTCTCTTCCACAAGAAAAGCTGCTCCATCCGAGTTGTGAAGAAGACTAATCCTGACATAAGCTGCAAAGTCTACAATGGGGTTGGTTAAGGCTGTTTGATGTGTTTGTCCTCTTTCTTCTGCACATCCTCTGGAAGTTAGGTATATTCTACATCTGTGACTTAGAGAAAATAAGCAAAGCAGCATGGTTTCATGAGGAATGAGTTCACCTCATGTCTTTCATAGCTCTAGTTGTGCCATCTGTCTTATTTATGACACTAGATGGTTTGTCTTATTATATACACATTTATAACAAAGCTTTACCACAGATAACTTTGTGACTTTTTTCTGTTGGGATCCAGAGTTAAATAAATTTTCACATATATCAAATGATTTATTTTTCTTCCAAGCACTCACTGAATAGTCTTGTTGAAAACAAGAATTCACGGTGTCTGTAAAAGCATGGTAGTAAAGCTAAATATTGATTTTGAAATAATCTAGCAATTAGAGTAATAGTTATTACACAAAGCAGCCAGACAAACGGATTCATTATGCTGTTACACTCATTGACATTTCTCCCAAGGACACGTGGACTAGAAAAACAGGATGGAACAAAAAAGAAAAAAGCCCTTTGAAAGCCTCTTCCACCTTAGTGCCTTCTGTAGGTCAATCCATTAGCGCAGATATACAAGGAAAAATATTTTTCAGGAGATAACTGGTATCTTACAAAAACAGCCAGCTCATGCCTTAGAATCCAACCTATTGCAAAGAAATGCCATATAAATAGCTCTGTAGCTTTCCATACTGGGGTAGAATTTCCTGCAATAATCTTGTTTGGGTCAAAGTCCAGTGACAAACAACCCTGTGAAAGCTGTTTGTATAGAAAACCTAGACTATAAAGCATGTTTAGAGAGTAGGCTTCAGGCATGACTCTGTGCCTGGTACAAAGTCCATGAGAGTGGTTTATATGAAAAGTATCCTATAAAACATGTTTAGACAATATAAATAGCAATTATAATAAGACTGCTGTCCAGCACAAAAAGCCCATATAAATCGTTTAGTGAGTTCAGTTTATTTAAGAGTAACACATAGATGTTTTCTTCATGTTCTTTTTTCTACCTTGCTGAAGTATATTACAAGGGCATATTTCAGCTGATGGAAAACCATTATTTTCTGCATATCTGTTGAGCAAAAACAGTCACACAACCTATCTTCAAGGGCAGTATTGAGAGTGCAAGTAGAAAAGCTGCACATACTAAGGAACACTGCTTACTAAATTTTAGAAGAAAACTCATTCATGGTTCCAGGTACTTCCAGAAAGTCATTAGGGTGATTTGATAATGAAAGTAAAATGAGAAATGCAATCATGGATCCTTAAATCTGTGTCCTTCAGGATTAGCTAGACCTGCTTGGTAGTAACTCCTTCAGACCATACCTTGCAGCCCCTTAGCATGTGCATGGACTACGTGCTGCTCTCTGGTACGTTTCCTCCATAATATATTTGTCATTAAGTACCTCATGCTGTTTAAGAGTGCCGGAAAGATCAGGACTCCAAATGCTGAACCATAGTTTGATTTGCTGAATGTGTTGTAGGTGAACTGGCCTCCCAAATACCAAGCTCAGAGGAGAGAAAGAGAGACAGAGCTCCAGGGTTCCATCAACGAGGACTAATGTGGCTGGAAGGGACCCTCAGAGCATCCAAGGTGCAGTCATAGTCCCAGTGCTGTGACATCCCCCTCACTCCCAGGAAAGTGCTAACTGTACCCAGTGAATGTTTCTTGGCAGGGGCCTTGCTATTACCATAACCTCTTTCAGAAAGGAGGTCTCTAACCATCACAAAGAGTGCTGTTCCCCATGCAACCCCCTAGAAACACGTTATCTTCGGGTAGTCCAAGTGTTATATAAAAGCACAGCAGAGGAAAGAGGCCAGATCTCAAGTGCCTTCCTGTATCAGGGGCGCACGCTGTGGGCAGCAACGGGAGCACGTGTGCTTATCACTGAGGTGGGAGGACAGGCTCACACCATGCCAGCCACAGTTTTACTCCTTTCCCTATCAACAGCAAACAAGGGCTGGTCCGTTGGTTGCTAGACTATGTAAACCTATTGACATGAACGGGAACAGCCAGCCTGACTAACAGAGGACTTAGAATAGCTGAGACTACTGAACTCCAGGCTGCTTTCCAGCAGCAAGCATTTTGCATATGAAGGAATTTCCACTCTTGGAACCCTCATACAAACCCTGCTTATGCATTTTCCAAAAGTCTGAGCAGATCAGGATCCCTACCAACTC